GAACATGACATCCCGAGGTTTTGATATAAAAGGAAATTATATATTTCTTAAAGAAAGGTTTTGACAAACTTTTATCATGTATTGTTTTGGGGACCAATTCCGCAACATCTTTTAAAAAGATTTCTCTGATTTTATTTTAAAAAGCATAAATTAAATCGGTCTTTTCTGGCCGAGAAATTAGGGGATGTCACATAACTTGTTCATTCTTAATTTCTTGCCATCAAGGGTCCCAACATTGCTTCCAAGATATTTAGCAGCTCACCCCTACCAATCAATGTACTTTCCATGTATCAGGGTGCTTGCCCTTATGCAGTCAATTAAGAACTCGTAGAACTTATATGCATAAGTAACTATACTGGAATGGCACAGAAACAAGAATATGTCAACACGATAGGTTACAAACCTCAAGTCGTGTGCTAGTGGTTAATAATTTTACTCTCGATTAGTTCTTGAACCTTTTCAATATCATTTAGACTCCCACTATCCTCTTGACATATAAGATTCTCTTATCAAGAAACATTTCTTGACAAACAAATATTCAAGAGTTGGTGCGGATTCTTATCAAGATAAACCACTACACACAATTGGTCTTAGTTGGTCTTTGTCTTATCAAGACATCACAACTTACCAATTTCAAACGTGCAAGAGTATAAAAAAACAATTTTCTACTGTACATTTGATGAGTGTGTTAAAACTTCTTAAGATATGTCACTCAAGTCACAGTCTTGGAGTATGACTATAAGACTTGATTTTGGAACGAAGTATGACTCATCCTTTTTGATTTAACCATTTTAACAATTTCCGATTCCTCTTCTTAGCCATACTAGTGCACTAAGATTTACTTAGAGGATCAATTGTGATATGGTTTCACAATCAATGAGACAATCATAAAACATGATACAAAAGTACTCTCCCTTCTTTCCAGATTGGAGAAACTTTTATCATTCTGCCTAATTGATTCTTCTTATTCGTTCTACTATTATTGAAACTTTTCAATGATTCAGAATTACACTTAATCTTGTAAGCATAACCATATTTACTAGACTTTTAGTAAATCATGACGAATATTTTATCGTTCTTTGTGGTGGACTTGACCAGTACACAACACATTGTGTACCAGCTCTCCTAGTCCTTCACTTGACTCTTTGTCAAGAAATTAGTCTCAATTTTCCAAATATGAAGGTTCTTATTCATCATACAATACAAGTTGTATGATTCCAAGTTTCTGTCCAATTGAAACTCGGGCGACAAGAATCTATCCTTATTTGGTAAATTCTCGACATTCCCACAAATAACATAACTAAGAATCACGTCCATTTCAACATTGCTAAAAATAGAAACATTCAGACACGAATTTTCATAAAATTCATCGCAAGGAAACATAAATAAGACAAAATCAAAATTTATTTTATTGCGGAAAAATCTTGTCCTTACAATGCGATTTCAAATGAAAACTATGTAAATATTATTTAGCAATCTATCCTAACTCTAAAGTTGCAGCTAAAATTCTGATGTTTGAATCATGCGATCGAAATCCATTTCTTCATGACCAGATTCAGCTCACTTCTTTCTTTTAAGCTTCCTTCCATTTCTTCGATCCTACAAAACACCAAATGTAATCTTATCACATCATGTATTAAGAATCTAAAAAAAGGAACTTAATAGAGTTAGATAGTGGATTTTACCTGAAGTGGAGTCATACATCTTGACTCTCCCATCTCTTAGATCTCTCAGGTAGTCAGGGCAGCTTCGTAACCAATGCCCTCTCTTTTGGCAGTAGAAAGATATGGATTCTTCTGGGATGGTACACGAGACTATCTCAGATTCAGCCTTTCTCTTGCGTAGAGAAAACTTTCCTGGACTTCCAATGTTGCCATTTCCCATAGCAGGATGGGACATTGATTTTCCAGACAAATTTGCTTGACCAGTGCGCCAAATCATCGCTGATTCAGTAGCAATAAGCAAATAAGTCAAATCAATGAGGCTTACGTCGTGATCTATCACATAGTACTCTCTAATGAACTTACTATATGATCCGGGAAGTGACTGAAGAACCAAGTCAAAAGCCAACTTCCTTGAGACATCGACACCCAACATTCCCAATTTATCAATATGCAACTTCATATCCATGACATGAGCACATACAGACTTTCCATCTTTGTGTTTTTTGCCAATAGGGCTTGAGTGACCTTGAACTTTTCAAGTCTTCGAACACGTGGGCCGGGGAGAATTATTGGAAGAGGTGGAGGAAGTGAAGCATGATTTCCATTTCCACAATCCAATCGTGGAACATCATCTTCATGTGAAAAACTTTTTCCTAAGGATTCGGGAAGACCATAGTCTTCAGAATTTGACATCTACAAAATGGGAGAAATTCAAGTTAGTTGATTGAGTCCTTAATAAAACGCCCAAATGAGATATTAAGGCTAGGACCCAACACAATATTCTACAACTTGGAAGAGAGATGCCATAATCCAAATTGCAGAACATTTGAAGGTAGGTAAATGACGATTTACCAATTTCCACCATGAAAAACGAAAATTGAAAATTAAGTTTTAAATGAAGTGAAACTCCTAGATCTTTTGAGATTCATTGAACTTTTCAATTTCATGTTTAAATCTCGAGTGTTCCCTTCGTTTGTGACTGAGATGCCGAGGATCACAAACAAGTTGTGGATAACCATGCAAATATACATGGTGCCCCCAATGTTACAGTTACCTAATCGACGTGCCGGTAAACCACACACGCTCCATCGATCTATGACAAACATCGAGTCACCCTTTGCTACCTTTTCTTAGAGCCCAATTAGTATGCCGGTTAACCACACGCGCTCCACTAACGTCTTAGCAAGGGTAATGTCTTAGCAAGGGTACAAAGTGTAATTTCATGGAATAGCACCAACTCCACATTTTTCCTAAAGTAACTAAGATTTGGGAATTTGTAAAAATGTTTAGTTACTTCGTACTTCATTATACTTATAATGTAAGCTTGTGTCCTATCCTACCCGTTCGGCTAACGACCCTCCACTAGTCAATAGTGCGGTGGGTAAGAGTGGATACCCAATGGCGGTCATTTTATAGGTTGCTTCCGTAAACACCCCTTATAGATCAACTTCGTGAATGAGGCCTACTAACGGTAAGACTGACTCTTTACTCATACATATATAATATGTTAAACCTTTTAAATGTTATATGGTATAAGGTGTATTTTACACTTTTAAAATACTAGGTGGTCTAATTCAATAAATTATACTTTTAATTTAATTAAATATAAACCAAATCATTATGGATTTATTAACTCTCTTTTAGTTATACACTTAATTAACTTAATAAAACCATAAGGGTGTAATTTGAACTTTTCAAAAAAAAAAAAAACTAGGGTTTTAGAATTTAATATTTCAAATTAAACATTTAATCAAAATTTTAAATTCTAAAACTTGAGGGCAAGTTTTGAAACTTTTCAAAACCTTAGGGATTAGAATTTAAACATTTCAAAATTAAACTTTTAATCAAAAAATTTAAATTCCAAAACTTGAGGGAAGTTTTAAAACTTTTTAAAACTATCTAGATCAAATTACAAATAATTCAATTAATCAAATAATTGGTGATTATCTAAATTTGACCTAATTCAATTACTTGCAAGATAATTCATCAAATAATTCAAATAAATCAAGTTTATCACATAAGGCAATGAATATCTAATTAATTTGACAATTATCTTCTATTTTGGTAAGGATAATCACACAATATAAATAAAAATCGGATTTTATTAATAAAAAAGGTTTTTGGTAATTATCCACAGCCAATCAGACCTACAGACTCGTCGAGTTCCCAGTAAACTCGGCGAGTTCACCTATGAACTCGGCGAATTTAGGCTCCAGAATGCAGTTTCTCGCGATTTTCAGCTTGAACGTTTATGTAAGGCATCAAATACATCAAACAAACAGTCTAGGCTCTGATACCACTGATGGGTTTTTGAGCACTACATCAATCCTATGGTGTACATGCAAACCCTAAAGCTTTGGATCTAGTTTGTCTAATATACATGCAATAATCATCCAAAACTCATAAACCCTAATTCTAGCATACAATAATCGAAATTGACAAAAGAATAGAGTTTAGATTATACCTTGATTGTTATGTTGCAATAACCACTACAAGAAAAAGACCCTTTTACGATGCACAAACCACGACACTCATTGATTTATGTTAGGCAAAAAAGAGTGACATTAAAAAAGTGTCGTCTCTTCAAAAAATTTAAGCATTTAGGTCACGCATTATTGTGTGCCCTTAAATTAGTGTCTAATGTAAAAAAAATAAAAACACGGAGGGCACTTTATCTAAAATGTGCGCCCTTTGTGGATGTCGCTTTATGATTTTTATTCAAAAACGCCGTTCTTAAAATTCTAAAATTTTTCAATACCCCGCTTCAAACCCCCCTTCATTCTCTTCTTCCCTTCTCTCTGCAAACCCTAATCACGATACAATCTCTACTATACAACTCATATAATCGTTTTATAATTTTTTTTTTCTTAAAAACACGCGTCCATTCCTGAAGATCACAAAATGGCGACCAAAAACTAGGGCTTTTATTTACCCTTACATATAAACGTGATTTTCAGAGTTTCAAAAACACTTCCCTCACGTATGTTTTTCTTCTTCAATCTTACAACCATTTAGGGTTTTGGCATACAAGAACTCTATTCGACTCATCACACACCAGCTATTAAGGGAAGACATCAAACAAGTCTCATGTGACACCTTCAATGGTGTCATCAAGTGGAAGGACATGGAAGTGCTTTCCATACTTGACATCTGGACATTGGTGAACAGACAGAACATCACCAAGGCGAATCCTTAGGTTTGTCATGATGACCTTGTTTATTCTGATTTTTGGCTCATCACATGTTTTCGCACCTCTATGGGTGAAATTTTGTTCTGATATGATGATTAGGTCAACATAAGGTCTCGAAGATGAAGGTTGTCTTCCAAGTCTAATTAATGGATTATCAACGACTCCTCTGTCCCCTGTCGGTGATTTCTAGCTTCGGTCTTCACCCATATCTGGTACATCGAATCCCACAACCACCGTCTTTAGTGCTAGCTGAAAAAGAAGATGAAAATGGCTTCTTCAAGCTCCATTGTAAAGGTACTTAATTTTATCTTTTCTGTTCAACTTATGTTCAACTTACATCTGGGTTTCAACCTTTGATACGTTCAATCCCTCAACCACCGTGTTTGAGAAGTGATTTTTGCAATTGGATTTGCTTTTCAGAATACCTAGCACTGATCAGCAAGGGTTATGCAGACTATGTCTCTCCTTTTCTTGCTCTGTAAACAAAAACTTAAAATTAGGAAGAAAAAAAACTAGCTGAAATAAAGGATAGTGAGGATTAGATGAAGAGTATGAAAGAGCTTAAGACACATAATTCAACGATACAAGAAGAGTACTTAACTATTTTGATGACGACAACTAAAGACTTTGCTTCCTTGTGATGTCATATATTAGGTATATATATGTTTATATCTCATGATACAGGTCACATTTGCTAACTTTCTGGTATGAATTAAGTTCCATTCATGATTATTGAACCCTAACTCAGTTTGCTCCAGTTAATACACCTGCTGCTGTGAATGCTTTTCTTGAATACTGGAAGCCATATGCACTTGTGCTAGTAGAAAGTGAACTATGGCCAAATCTTGTTCTTATTGCCTCAGCAAATGGTGTTAGTATAAATATAATTTACCTTTACCTTTTCATTCAATTTTGTTTTTCAAATCTTTGAATTCAACTTAACCTATTTTCTTTCATCCCCTTGAGCAGGTTATGCTAACATTTCCAACACCAATAATTGATGTTATCCAAATTTTCACTCATAGTTCCGTTGGTATGATCTCCTTTACTTCGTTCTTGAATTCACATCTCTGTTATAAAAATCTTTATACTTTTGTTCTATTCAAGAGCAATATTCAGGCAATTAGTTTTCAACTGAATACTAAAACTTTCAACATTCTTTTAACAGAAGTGGTAATACATTTTAATTATTTTTTTACAGTAATGGTATCAGTTCATAGGGCCTTAGTGAAAAAGCACATCAATATTCTTGCCATAATTGCTCCTAGGCATCCAGATCTAGGGCAGGAGATTGCTCTTGTATGATTCCATGATTCCATGATTCCATCTCAACTTTCTCTTTATTTATTATTATAAGTTATAACTTACTAAAATTTTGATTTTTTTTAAATATTATCTATACAGGTAAATCTGATCTGAAACAATCAGATTCATCAAAGGAAAAGGAAAAGAAGGATGATGGGTCCCTTGGTGCATTGACGGTTTTGCCCCTGTTTTTCCCCTGACTTTTCTACTGCTGAAATCTTAAAAATTCCGGTTGATGGTGTGGTTCTTCTCATGAAATCCATTGGCATTAAAGTGGTATTCTAAATCTACAGCTCCCTAAATCTACTTTTAGTAAAGGAATTTCATTTTCCTAAAAAATGTAAAACTGGACATTTTGGGCTGTCCCATAAAGTTTCAGTCCCTGTCTACTTTTTTTGGCCCATTAGTAATCATAGTAAGTTAAATTGGGCATTGATGATCCTGATGCAACTAGCATGCATATAGAGGTATTGCTACAATTACAATATGGTCTATTGATGCCTTAATAGGTGAAAAATTATTTACTTGCACACATGTTTCTCTTCATTGATTCTTTTTTTTGGTGTGTGTGTTTGTTGAATAGATTGGTAGGCGTATCTTCGGGAAAAGGTTAGAAACCGGTGATCGTGAAGCAGATGCAGAACAGCGTCGGGTAGGGTTTTTTTTGTATTTAAATAAATTGAAATTAGTTGATTAAATGAGATACAGAGCTTGATCATTGTTATGGTCTCCAGTGCAGGCATTTCAGAAGCTGATTTATGTTTCAACACTTGTATTTGGAAAAGCTTCTGGCTTTCTTTTACCTTGGAAACGTGTGTTCAAAGTTACTGAACCACAGATTGAAGTTGCTATACGTGACAATGCACAACGCTTGTATGCTTCCAAGCTAAAATTAATTACCCAAGGTAAATGCCTGTTTCTTTTCTTACTTAATGCACTCATTTGTGCTCTTAAATACTAGTCATATTAACTGGTGAATCACAATTTGGTATTGGTTTTTAACTTTTTATTTGTGCTTTTGATGCATGAATCAGATGTTAATCCGGAAGATCTTTATTAGTCTGAGAGATGCACAACTACAGTGTCGGCTTTCAGATGAGGTACACATTTCAAATAGCATAAACAACTTAATATTCTATAAGTAATTGTATTTTTTTAGTTATTGGTTTGGATTTATTGCAGCTAGCTGAAGATATGTTTAGGGAGCATAGTAGAAAGCTTGTTGAAGCAAACATTACAACAAGTGTGAATGTACTCAAGTCCAGGACAAGAACAGCGTATGTGATCTTGATACCTTATTAGAACATACCTTTTTATCAATATCATATTTTGATCACTTCATATAATTTTCTTTATATTTATCAACAATATGCCAAACATATTTTATGCAAAAAAATATCATGATAAAACCTTTAAAACGGGCCTCTTATCGAATATGATGTATGACTAATGATCAAACACTTTTCATGACTTGTAAAATATATTATATTTTTCAGAAGGGATGCCAAGCTCATTGTTGAGGAACTCGATAAAATTTTGGCATTTAATAACTCACTTGTCTCATTAAAGAATCATCCCGATGCTAATCGTTTTGCTCATGGGGTGGGTTCAATTTCTTTAATAGGTACTGTATACTCTCGCTCTCACTCTCACTCATCACAATTTATTTTCCATATAATATCTTCATTTTTTTAGTATTCCAATATTATTGCTTTTTGTATAGGTGGTGAGTATGATGGTGATAGAAAAATGAATGATCTAAAACTCCTCTACAGAGCATACATTGCTGATTCTCTATCAACTGGTCGTATGGAAAACACCAAGGTACAAAAACATAACTTTCCCTTTTTGGATTCCATTTATATAGGTCAAATCAAACTTTTGACTTTTGCCTTAGATGATTTGAGGGTCTATGTTAATGTTTTTTTTGTTTTGTTATGTTCTATACTTGTATAGCTTGTTGCATTGGGTCATTTGAGGAATATATTTGGTTTGGGTAAAAAGGAAGCAGAATCAATTGCAATAGATGTTACCTCTAAAGTATACCGTAAACGCCTTGCGGAATCTGTAACGGGGGGTGCTTTGGAAGCTGCAGATAGTAAAGCAGCATTCCTTCAAAATCTTTGTGAGGAATTGCACTTTGATACTGAAAAAGCCATTGAGATCCATGAACGTATGTATATGTTGCTAAAATGATTTTTTTTAATTTTATTTTAAAACATGTTTATAACGTTTTATAATGCTCTTATTCTTACTTCTCTTTTTTAGAAATATACCGTCAAAATCTTCAACAATCTGTGAAGGATGGAGAGCTTAGTGATGCTGAGGTTAAATCACTTGAGAGGTTGCAAGTTATGGTTTGTATCCCTAAACAAACGATTGAAAAGATCCACGAAGAAATATGTGGCACTTTATTAGAAAAGGTAATTAATATACTATTTTCTTACCAATTTATGCAGCCGTATTTCAATTTATTATAAAGTAATAAAAAATTCTCTATTTCAGGTTGTTAAGGAGGCTATAGCTGCAGGGGTTGATGGGTATGATGCTGATGTGAAACAGGCTGTTAGAAAGGCTGCATATGGTTTACGATTAACCAGGGATGTGGCCATGTCTATTGCTGGAAAAGCAGTGAGTGTTTTTTACGGATTTGCCCTTGTTTATTTTTCTTTTTCAGTTTTCTTTTTCAGTTTTCTAACATATTATTTTTAAATGGAGTTGGAGAAGGTGGGTGGGCACGGCTTTGCTTTAGTCCAAGTCAATGGTCAACGATACATGTTTAATCAGTCAAAGCTATTTTCGTAGTCCAATCTTTTACTTGTTTATATTGCGAGCTACATAGTATAGTAAAAAACATTAACTTTGTTACATTTAATGGTTGAATATTAAACTTGATAAATACTTTATATTTTAATGGAACCCGGAACACCACATGGATCAAATATCATATCTCAAGTGCGGTCCTAGATTCTTTGGATGGAGAAAAGGGTAATTTCGTCTTTTACAACTAACATTCCATGTTTGATTCTTCTAATAATTATATTAGCATATTAATTTTTTGACTTTTATTTGATCAGGTCACAAAAATTATCGGAGCAGGGGTTCATTAGTCTTAAAGAATTATGAAAGGCAAGATGCAACTCTACTTAGTTGGAATTTGATGTTTATCATCTTTGTGTATATCTTTTTAGTTTGTATAGCATTACATTGCAGAAGGTGTCCCTTAATAGCAATGTAGTATTAGGTTATATAGTTGGGGAAAACCTCTTAATAACAATGGACAATTAGATCACCTTAATATCAATGTATTACAATTTTTTGACATGATGTTATTGGATGAAATTGATTGTTTTGGTATACATTTGTTTACATATTTTTGTATTATGCGTAAATGAGTATTGTAAAGACGCGTCGTAAATGCATATCGAAAATGGTTACTAAAGTTTATGACATGTAAATGTCTGTCATCTTCATTTATGACAGGGGCTTCCTTGATACGCATTGCATGTCATAAACACGCGTGTCGTAATGTTATGACGCACAAATGCGTGTCGTCTTCCTTTATGACAGGGCCTTCCTTGATACGCATTGCGTGTCACACTGTGCGTCGTAAATACGTGTCATAAATGCGCGTCGTAAATGTGCGTCCTAAATAGACGACGCGCAAAAGCGTGTCGTCTCTCGTTATGACAGGGCCTTCGCTGACACGCATTTGCGCGTCGTCTGAGCGTTTTACGACACACATTGCGCGTCGTAAAATGCTGTTTTTCTAGTAGTGAACAATCTGAATCATTCTTGTAATTGACTTATGAAAGCCTAGTGCCTCAAATGTTGCACCTCTAATGGATTCACAAACACCATGAGCAACAAGATGACCTAGGAGAGAGGGAGGAGGAACCAAAAACGTCCTAGGGTTTCTCTTAGAAGGTTAGGGACGTTTTTTGGCTTGCCAAGGGTTCCTTTTATACTTAGGCTATTAGGGTTTTCAACCAGGAAACCCTAATCTGACTGCTTAGGCCCTAAGCAGCCCATGGACTCCCTCCTTAGAAGCCTTGGACGAATTCTAATGGGTTTCCCCATAGATTTCGTCCATTCCAACTTCTATGGAGTCCATTAGCCCAATATTCAACTATCACACAATTGACAGTTCTAGTCCCCTTTATTTAATTAATTGTCTTTTAGCCACAAAATTAATTCTTATTAATTCTTGACTAATATTAATTAAAAAATATGATTTCTCTCTTAATATATTATTCATATAATATATTAATAAATCATAATTAATCCTTTTTCTCGTTAATTCATCCTATCAGTTGCTATGGTGAAGGCAACCCAAAAGCACCATGCTCACAATCGGGTCAAGTACATACCAAAATAGTTATGGGCTTAGACACCTAATCCAACAAATACTTCATAAAACTCATAATATTCTTATGATTTATAATAAGAACTAAATAAAAATGCCTAGAAGAAGTAGTGCTCGACTAAACCTTAACCAAAGATCAAACCACAACAACAACCACCACCACCAGAAATAAACCCCTCAATAAGTTCAGCAGAACTTGAAGAAATTATAGCTCAGAGAATAGCTGCAGCTCTAGCTAATGTCACAACAGGTGGAATTAGGAATAAAGACAATGTAGTAACAGCTAGAATGTGTACCTGCAAGGACTTTATGAATTGCAAACCAAGGAACTTCCATGGAAATGCAGGGGTTGTTAATTTGACCAGGAGGATTGAAAAGACAGAATCCATCTTTCAAATAAGCTTCCGTCCAGATAATTGTAAAGTACGATTTGCAACATGTACTTTCGATGATGCGGCGTTAACATGGTGGAACAGCCATGTAAATACAATGGGAATTAATGCTTCAAATTCCATGAAATGGGAGGATTTGAAGATGACACTAGTAGAGGAGTATTGTCCTCGGGAGGAAATGCAAAAGTTGGAACAAGAACTGTGGAACCTAATAATGAAGGGTTCAGAGATAAATGCTTATACCGCTAGATTTAATGACCTTGCAGTGATGTGTCCAACACTTGTAACCCCTGAATATAAGAAGATCGAGCGATATATCTGTGGTCTAGCATCACAAATCAAAGGGATGGTGATCA